TGATGGTTAAAAAAGTGACTTATTTCGGGGAATTTGGCTATCTGAACAGTTCATGTCTTAAAAAAAGTATTATTTTAATGTTTCAGAGTTTCCCGAGGGATAAATTCACACTTTTGTAGCAAAACTCAGTGACAGATGTTTCTGTTGATTTCCGGCCGCCATGTTGGTGCCCATTCGTATGGGCAACAGCATGGCGTCTCCGTACAAATCTCTATAAATTTGGGTAAAAAATTTATCCGCATATCTTGCATAAGAAAAATTGCTGTGACCAGAATCTTGGCGAGAGTCTTACCTTCGTTTATTTACCAGATTCTGAACTTTATCCATTGAACGGTTTTGATTTTTATTTTGCTCTATTTTGAATGGCGTGACACTGAAAACCAGCTATAGGATCGAGTGGAATCAAATCGGTGTGTAAACATTACGATATTTTTGTTATAGTTTATTATGGTAATAGGATCGAATGGAATCCAATTCGTCTGCAATCATATGAGTGATTAATAATATCGGACGACCGTTAAAAGGGAGTGAGGCGTGAAGCGATTTGATTAATCACAAGTAAAAAGACAGAATTGGACGACACGATGCCCTGTTTCCTAAATTAATCATAACCATTACAATTTCCAAAAAAGGTAAAAGTTACTTTTGAAAAATACCTTTAAAATGGCTGTCAAGACTCTTTGAAAACAGCCAGCAGAGATAAACTGCAACAATTTTTTTACAAAATCACTCATTTGAACGGTTACCATGATGATTGTAATCAATGTTGTGATTTGTAAATTACCTCAGGTAACTGTCCGATTACAACTTTGCAGATTAATTAGTGCAAAATAAAGCAGTTTATGCACCAACCACATTTCAGGGTTGTTATTTGTTATCATTTTATTGGTGTCTGTTTATAGAAATCAGCGACACTGCAAGCAAGGTTGCAGACGTTTACATCTAAGTGAGGGAGTGAGTACTCTTCTGCATAATTAGTATCAAAAATTCCCAGTTAATTTAAAAATGGCTTGACATAAAGAGACAAATTAAACTGAATAATCGCCGGTAATTTTGCATCATCTGGTCGTCCGTAATTGTAAGAATAATGTGAAACGTTTAAAGTGTTCGTTGTTGCTTTCAGCATGATGTACTGGACAGACTGGGGCGCTAATCCGAGGATCGAACAAGCTGAGATGGATGGTTCAGCGAGACGAACCATTGTAACACGAAACCTTGTCTGGCCAAATGGACTTACTATCGACCAACTCACAAATCGCTTGTTTTGGGTTGATGCTAAACTTGACAAAATCGAGGTATCAGACCTCAATGGAAGAAACAGACAGTTAATAATGTTATCTGCGGTTAATATCCATCCATATGGACTGGCGGTGTATCTGGACATGTTATATTGGACTGATTGGCATACCACGAGCATTTCACGTTTTAACTTAAGCAGTGGAAACCAGGAAATCGTAGTCAGTGGCCTCCAAAAACCGATGGACATTCACGTATTTGATCAAGCCTTAATATTTTCAGGTACACGTACTTAGCTTATTATAAGTTTTATCATTACACACGTTGGTGTTGCTTGCGGACAATAACTGTGAAAAATAAACTCAGAAATTGAATTACCATGAACTTCGTTATAGCAAAGTATCCATTTATAATATGTTGGTGTTTCGTTTGCCAATTTAATTTCCTTAAAACGTATTCCCTGTATATATGTACGAATAAGTGTAACTGCTAATAATTATAGTTAAAATCATAATGCAATAAAAACTTTAATTAAAAAAATAACAACGTGCAAAAGATTGGAAAATCTCTAGTACTGTATTAATTCTTAAAAATTAACAGTGATTTTCTCTTCTGAATAAGGTAGGAGTGGCTATTCATTTCTGTTTGTCTATTATCAGGTTCTCATAATTTTTCTCAGAACAATGGACTCTGTAGCGATTTTCGCCTTCTAAAGCCAGGAGGCTACCAGTGCGCATGTCCAACGGGCATCGTTCTAAAGTCTGATGGGAAAACATGTGACCATGGTGAGGGATCCTTGTGTTTAGTTGCTTCAATCTTGTTAACTACTGTATGTACCTATATCTAGCTAACTGGTCCCTGGTTGTTTGGCTCTTGTAAGAAGATATTAAGAAGCGGGATATGATAGTAATTCAAGGAAGCAGAGCGTTAGGTTCTTGAATGTAATTCATTCAGAGAAGCCCCCATCATTGGCCTTTGTCCCCCCGGCTTCCCTTGTAATGTGGCTTGACTAACCTTATATGACGTGGATTCTGAATGGCCGCCATCTTGATTCGAGTGCTGACTCTAAACCGCCGTTAATATGTATAAACAAAGAAAGTTAGTGCAAAAGGGTACTTTTCAGGAAAAGTTAAAAAAGAAAATACAGGAAGATTGGCAAATTGGAATTACATGCCAGGCCAAACACGGTTAACATAATAACATCACGCTTCTGAACAATAACGAGTTGAGCATGTTTCAAAAGCTGATGTACTGAGTATTACCCTTCGTACACCTTAATAGCTTTCGACATCATCGGCTGGTTGGCAAGTGATTCTAGGTGGGGTCTATTTTAGCCTCCAAAACGCCATTTCCAGCATTCCTTACAATTGAAAGCGTTTGTGAAGGCATGATATAAAATCTGGAGTTTAAAAATAATAATGCGACCGCGAAATGTACATTATCTTTTCCTAACTTGGCAATTAGTCAATTAGTGGAAGTTAAAAAACGACATACAATTTTATTCTATTATGTTTATGAAGAGCCGAAGAAATGACAAAAAAATAATGTTGTTTAAAGGGTGAGGAGGGGGGAGGGTTGGAATTTGCATCTGAAAACGTTTGAATCCGGAGAGTTTTGTCGTGTAAACGACTTTCTTTCCACCTGCGATCTTTGAAGTTTGCGATTGAACCAAAATGACGGACCTAGTAGTCTCAGTCGTAGTCACATTGATGGCCATTGATGATATGACAGTCGCTGCTTACCTCATTCTGTTACAGGTCAAGGCAATCAAGTCTATCGTGTAAACGGTTAGGAACCCAAATATCCTTTCAATGTAAACTCTTAAGGAACCGAATACTCTAAAATCTCCTCTAGTGTAAACCTATAGTCTCAAGCCGTTGCAGAAAAAGACGTCTATTCCTCCACCCGTGCGCACGTTCTTGAAGAGTGTCAGCTGATCCATCCGGTTAACTATGATACATACGTTCTCTGTGAGCTATATGCGAGAAATAAGCTAACCAAGCTCAGCGCCTCAATTTCCGCATAACATGCAACAACAAAAACAGTGTAAATGCCAGTCTGACTCCCAAGCTTTGTTCTCGGTTTCGTCTTTCATACTTAGTGCTTTTGGGGAGAGCGTTGCGTGACATCCCAAAAAACGGCTGCGGAGGAGACTAGTCCAAAAGTAGCATTGAGGTGGACTGGCGAGTGGAATATAAACAGTGCTAGAAATATAACCTGCGGTCATGTGCTGCTCCCCGGACCTCAAAAGCGACGCATCGTCTTCCGTAATTCAATATTTTTGTTATTTTATTTGTGAAACAGTAAATCGCTGTCTTCAGTTGACCGCCCCTGCCCAAGGAAGCTTAGCGCCGTGTGATAATTTGCCAGGACACTCCTGTCACTTTTTTTGTGACAGCGGGTACATCCTGACTGGGTCAGCAACTCGTACATGTAACAGCAGTGGACAATGGACGGGCACACAGCCTCAGTGCAAAGGTGAGGTGCTAAACCAACTATTGTTTGATCGATTTCAAAACAGAACTCATGATGAGCTTAGCACACACCAGGAATGTTAACTAACTGCACTTTTGAGTAAATCTTATCATAAGGACTAACAATTCTTCATTTCACTAGATTGGCAGTTTTGGTTCCTTGACATGCAGTCACAAAATCAATTGAATTGATAATTGTAATCCTCTTCTTCTCTTACAGTACTGTACTTCGTCCCCAAAAACTTAATCTGTTTTGCTTTGTAGAATTTCTGGGTCCAAATGATTCGAAAGTGTTTCGTGGCATCTGCAAAATTAAAATGGCAATTAGGAATGAAGACGGGTTTCGATAATCAGCCGAAATATTATGTTCTTTTGATAAGTTGAACTGCTATCGTCGTTTACAGATAACACACCACCTTCCTTCAACAACACCTGCCCCAAAAGTATGGTGTTCCATGCTACTGAATGTTCGTCCAGCGCCTTACTCACATGGAATGAACCAGTGGCGACTGACAACTCTGGTCACGTGTCTATCAGCTACCCTGCCATTCGTCCTCCTGTCAACCTTAGTATCGGTCTGTATAATGTACGGTATTCCGCGATAGACAACAATGAAAATCAAGCTTTCTGCACTTTTATCGTGCAAGTAGAAAGTAAGTCATCGCACTTGCCATTGTTGATTAAAACAAACTATCAAAATTGTTAACAATAATTATCATCGCTATAAAAAATGATCATAATTAGCATAAATCATAAAGCATTTAATCGCAATTAGTGAATTATCTTCCCTTTTTTGTGGCTCCTGTTAAAATGTGCTTTGGTCAGAGCCATGCCAGTATCAAATTGGTTTGAAGACAGTTCATTTTCTTACAAAGTAAAACTAAACCAGCCATAGCAATTCAGCGCGCAAGAGTCATAAAACGGTCACGGTATAAGTCATATTGATTTGCACTGTGTTTCACTTTGACGCACTATATGAACCCGGGAGTACTCTCTTATATGGGCTACATATAAATATGTGCGGCCCCAAAAGGTATGGTTTTTCAGCCGTTTTGGTCAGGAAGAGGGTATCCATTTTGGCCATTTTGGTCATAAATAGGGTATGGTTTTAGCACTCTAGTCTTGAATTGGGTATGTTTCCTAGAAGCGGCTGCTTTTTCATCATTATCGACAAGACCATGAACAAAAGCCTTTCATAAATTATGTTTAGGGCAACTGTGCCAGGCGCAACTGTCATAAATAGGGTATCGAATGTTTAGCCAGGTCATAACTAGGGTAGCAAAACTCACAGATTTTGGTCATAAATAGGGTAAGGAATTTGGGAAGTGGGCTGCACATTCCCACCCAACTTTTCTGGGAGTACCCCCCTCCCGGATATGAACGCAATTGTACTCAAGAGAGCTGAAGAAAATTTCTAACCTCATGCGTTTCTTTTCTTGGATATATTCTGTTCTGTTACAAAGCCTACAAAGCACACAACAGGCTACAAAACAATTTTCTTTCGTTTTCGTTATTTTCTCAAATCGTCGTGACATACCAATTCCGATCTGGAATGTCTACAGCGGCGTTTCCTAAAATGACTAGGGCTAAAATTAAGATTGAGCTTCTTATTTGCTAAAGAGCTGAGAGGATGTTATTCTCTGAACGTCCATTTAAGAAAAACATACTAATCCACAGGAAGGTCATGCCCAGTCCTCAAGCCACCAATTCATGGATCCATAACCTCTCTTTCATGCGGATCCTCATTTGGTTCCCAGGCTTCACTTGCTTGTGACACAGGATACCGAATGGCTGGGTCTCGTTTGCGCTCATGCAGAGCAGATGGAACATGGTCAGGCAACGTGACTACATGTAACAGTAAGTAGCTTGTGCACAACAAGTCGTATTTTTCAATGTGAACCATAAATTTAATTATTAACTGTTTTGCGATTAAAAATTAACTGTTTTGTTATTGAAAATTAATTAATTCGGTAATTTCCACTTGCCCTCGCTCCAGCTGTTTCAGGGTCTCCAAGGAAATCATCAGTGACTATTAAACATTGTTTATCGTCTTCAAGTTGTTTTTCTGAGAAACTTAGACAGCGCCTGTATGGTCGATTAAATAGACATAATCGTATTTATACATCATAGCGAAGACTCCTCCAAAACCCTTTCTCCTGGGTTTTTTTAAAATAAATGATCTGTTGCAGTCGAAGTTCTTCTTTGTGAATCCCTGGGCATGTTTAAATTATTACTCAGGTTCTGGAATCAAAAGCTCTCTGTGTGTTAAGTTCTCGTAAGTGACCACCCAAAGATTCTGACTCATACTGCACCCAAATTCTCGATTAGCCAATCAGAAGGCGTGCCTACTGGACGGGTATGGCTACGATACAATGGCGGTATTTGGGTACGGTAAATACCCCATCGAACCTTTTTGGCGTGCTTTTGCGGCATATTAGACTTGTCTGATCTCGCCCTGGGTATTTTTGCTCGACTACTTCTCGCTTCTCGCTAAAATGCGCACCATGGCTCGGCAAAACTCGCTTGATATGTCGCAAAAGCGCACCAAAAAGAATTAAGGTACGATTAGGTAAAAGTATTACTACTTAAACTTGAAATACTTCTTGATCATATTTACCTTAAATATAAATATTCGCTGATAAAGATCTCGGATATAACGCTTTGGAAAGAGCGTTGAGAAAGACTGTGGTTGGAAGCTTTATGATAAATACTAAGGAAAACGACCGGGTCTCTATTGGCTCAGCGTCAGGTTGCTTGCGAGAACTCCTCGTCGTAAACGACCGGTTCTCGTTACTTCCACCTTCTTCAAAGGTTTAACTTATTGGCCAAAAACGCTCCCAAGAAGCACAAAATATCATCATAGAGAGCATAAATTTCTCGGCTCCCTATTTTGCGAGTCTGTTAAGGCCTCGTGTTTTGTAATTTCCTAAATATACCCTTAAGTTTATCATTTTGTGTTATTTAATGGCAGAAAGATATAAAGAGGCGCCTAAAGACAAACAAGGTGACCCCACTTTACCAGCAGCTGTCACAGGATCCCTTATAGTCATTACACTCATTGTGTTCATCGGCGTTTTTGTGTGGAAGCACCATTTGTAAGTTTTAGTTAGTACACAATAAAATGGAATGAAATATTGAAGCATAGCATGACATAGCATGGCATAGAATAGCATGACATGACATGCCATGACATAGCATGGCATGGCATGGCATGGCATGGCATTGCATAGCATAGCATCGCATCGCATAGCATAGCATAGCATAGCATAGCATAGCATAGCATGTCATAGCATGGCATGGCATAGCATAGCATAGCAGAGCAGAGCAGAGCAGAGCAGAGCACAGCATGGCATAGCATGGCATGGCATGGCATGGCATGGCTTGGGTCGTACTGGCAAGACATTTGACCAGTGTATTTAAATCAGTTTGGCTCTCGTACCTGTGAGATATTGATATACGTAATATTATTGATATACGAGATATGTTATACGTAAGGGCTGATTTTTACAGCATGTATTCGTTCTCTAATTCACTTTACTTAATTAAACCTTTTTACAGCCTTAGAATATCCAATGAGGAAATTATGGGACAAAGCAATTCAGCTTATGTGGTTGATACACTGGATGGCATTGAAGAACTAGAAAACAGTTCCTCTAGCAGCTCTAGGTCTCCAAGTCTTCAGGTTACTTTACATTTAGCCTTATATTTTTTTGTGATATGTGGAAGCATCTTAGCTTCATGTTAACGACTGGATCCCCAAGTAACAGTTTAACAAGGCAATAAAGTAAAATAAACCAATTAAGCTTGATAACGACGCAACTTGTACTGCAGTCTAATGTGGACTTAACAGTTCCATAATTTAACAACAGATGACGTCAAGATGTGGTGAGGAATTCGAAAAGAACGTGACACATGAGTCGTCACTAATGTTCTTACCACATTTTGACGTCTTCTGTGATCTATTACTGAACAGACGCACGGCAACATGGAATATATCTGTTTTATATGATAAAAAAAGAAAAGATTTTAATGAAGTTATCTGTACGTCTGTGAATTGAGTGAGATCCTCGAATAGATCGTTAGTAAGGACCAGTCAAAAAGCGAGAATAGTTTGACTAAAAGGGATCAACCTTGTTATCCGTGACGTCTTGGTTACTATTTTATTTTCTCAGATTGAAAATGAAGCAGATCAGGATTCATCGAACTGCAGCAACGAAACTCTGAGCAATCACGTTCCCACGTCATTTCCAAAATACATCACAAATATAGAGGCCACATTCACCAATACTGGTGGAGAATTGTGCGCGCCTTTGAACTCTGACGTGCGTATTATTGTTCCTAGCGGTGCAGTTCCCGCAGGAATAAATCAACCCGTCTTCTTTAGAGTGTTCTCAGACGAGACAACATTGTTGCGGAATATCCCGGAAGCACCCAATAGAACTCTCATTTCTCCCGTGGTTGAATGCGGGCCTCATGACATCCACCTGTCAAAGCCTGTAGAAATTATCGTTCCGCATTGCCTCTGCTTAAGCGAAGCTAAAAAGGAATCGATAACTGTTTACAGATGTAGCAGGTTTTCTGCTGGAGTCGAAGGTAGTGATAGTATGTTTGTTCGTTTGTTTTACACTTAAGCTCTCTCTTGTTTTACTTTTCAACACTAATCAAGAGGTTAGATTTCTTCTCACACTCATAATCTCCAGTAATACCAAAAAACTGCGTATAGATCTAAAAAGTTTTGGTTCTTGACAAAAGTTGAAATCGCTTAGCTTGCGCAGGCATAGACACAGGTACAAACCTAAGCACAGGCATAGGCACAGTTATAAACTATGTTTAACAAATCGAATGTGGTTTAGCGTTGTCTGTACTCTTATCGACAACGAGTACGCGTCATCATAGTGGTCAAAATGTTGTGGAATCACTCGGTTGCGCCTCGTGAGTTCACAACATTTTCACCACTGTGATGACGCGAATCGTTGTCGATAAATTTACAGGAAACGCTAAGCCACAAGTACATTTTTTACCACAATATCAACGTCAAAGAAAATGTTTTTTTCAGAGTGCGAGCTGAAAAAAGGCATTACGTGACACATTGACGACGTGAGCAGCGTTGTCTGGACTTTTACCGACAACGGCAAATTAGCCAATCAGATTGCGAGATTAGTAGCAATTGTGGTAAAAATAGCTATAGACATAGGCATAGCTATCGGGCAATAGCACAGCCACATTACCGGGCTTGTCTGTAGTGACTGGCAGGTCAACATGCATTCATAATCTGCTACCAGGTCGCTTAAGCTGGGAGAGAGTGCCCAATAAATCGGAAAAAAGCAGTCAGTCCAAGTGTTGGTTTATGGTGGAAAAGGACTCTGTTCGCATAAAAACCAAGACGTTTTCTCTCTGGAGCATATTTGCCTGTGGCGGGCCAAAGAGGAAGAGAGCGACAGTTTTTGCCAGCAGACCAGATCCTAGAAGCGACCTTATTTACTTAAGATTTTACGTCTACAGTGATAACGAGGATTCTAAGAGGGTAGGTGATCCACTCAATGCGAGAAAAAGGTAGAGTGCTAAAATGTGCATGCACAGCAATCCACGCACAGGTCATTTGTATACACGAATACATCCATCAACGTCTTCTTTGAATATAGGCAGAGATGGATGGATGGACCGGTGGATAGAATCGATAGAATAGATTTTTGTTATTTATGGGTGTAATATATTAAACACGAGAGACTATGTTTGATCATATTTCCGAACACCGAGAAGAGAAGCGAAAAAAAACGACGCTCGACGGAGTATTGGAAATGTGGTTAAACACTGTCTTGAGTGTTTGATATATCTTCTCAATCGAACAAAACCTAAGGAGAGTACGGCCGGAGAAATAAGACCATAAAAATCTATGCTTATTTATAAGTTCCGATATCCAAATACCGACACGGTCCTGGTTCCTTCGCTTAAACTTGAAATTTAATGAATTTGAGAATTAAGGATTGATAAACTAGATAGATGGATAGATGGAGGGATGGATGGGGCATTGAATGGTACAGCAGAGAGAATTACAAATCTTCTTTGTAGACGTTGTTTGTTGTTTTATATGCAATTGGTATACTTCTTTGGTCTCACACTAGTATGTCGTTGCCATTTACTTCCAAATGTGTCTTCCTTTTTACAAGCGCGTGGAGTTGAAAGATAGAGAACGGTTTCCTGAATCGAAGCCAGCGAAAGAGAAGCCCTTCAGAATGATCAGTGACAACACAGTGATCACAGTAAAACTCACCAATCTTGAAGATGGCTGGGAATTGGACAAGACCAACGATACCCAGGTATAAACTGTAACTTGTTTTCGTGAAAACATCTCATACTAAGACTGAGAACGATTGGCTCAGATGGCAAAAATATCTACTTCTGGTTTCTTTCACATCGTGGTCTTTCACATTTTTCATGTACATATCATTTTATATTATATCTGTTTCGTTAAAGCTACATGACGGGACGCGCGGAGCTTCTACTGGAAGTGCCGCAGAGAAATGGTAGGAAATTTTCCTAGCATTCCTTATATACTCTCACTATGGTTCTTCGTCTTGCGCCCAGGGAAGGCGTCATAACCTGTTTCAGTGACATGTCGATGATATTAAATAAAAAATAAACCAGAAAGGCCCGTTGGAATATGAGACAAGCTTTATAATGAAGTCACGATATTAATAGCGCTTTAAAAGTAAATAGTGCGTTCGAGTCATTCCCGATGCTTTCAAATGATTGCGGACTCCACCGACGCCAATAATCTGGAACAAAACAAGGTCGTTATATATCGGATCACGTCTAATCACACGCGAAGAAAGACTTGGGCAGGAAAAAAACGTGAGCGGACAAAACCGGGCAATGCCGATAAATCAATGCAAGTAATCCCGCAATGATGAAGGAATTACACAACATGAACCTTCCTCTGCTTGTCCCCCTAAACCAAGTTCAGATCTACAAACTGAACTTAAAGATACCAAATTGCCTACGAATGGATGTTGAGCGCGGCGAGCAGACATAAATGTCTTGTTTACCCAATGAAAGCCATCACAATAAACTCTGATCTTGCATCGAGATGCTTGTCCGGGCGTAAAGGAGCGTTTGATTAATCAATCTAACACAGATCTTAAGGAATAAAAACTCAGATGATCTGGAATACTTGTCTGAGTATGTCTTTGGCAGTGGGAGCCACGCGCAGTATTATCATGCTCGGAGAAACTTTGTACATGGAGCTAAGATAGATGGTCAGTGCTTTAGTAGACCATACACGTGTACCAATCGCTTGGCCAATGGCTCGTACAGGCAACGAATCGTAAAAGTCCGTAAGTAACGACCTCCGAAAGAAGTTAGCCCACCCCCATTTCCTGAAAATAGAGGAAATAAGCTTCAAAAGTATAATTATTTTTTCAATCAATAACCTGAATAGAAATTTTTTCAAGGTAGAAACATCAACACGGAAAAAAAATCCGAGTTCCAGATGGAATTTGAACCCACGACCCTCCTTGATCTAGTCACTAGATCATGGAGGGTCGTGGGTTCAAATCCCATCTGGAACTCCGATTTTTTTTCCGAGTTGATGTTTCTACCTTGAAAAAACTTCTACCTGGAAAATTTCCTTATAATAACCTGAATAACGTACGATAAACTGATAACGATTCAACTAGGGAAGTTATAGCTAATTCCAGGAGGCGTCATTAAGCGCCTTGGTAAAACAAACCCCACAAAATTTTCATCAAGTAACTGAAATTACTAAAATTGACAACTTTGCATCATTTTTAACAGGAACGCGCAAAAAGAACGTTTAATCAAATTGAAATTAAAAACTCGACCAGAGCAGTTAAATATTTATAAAGCACACTAACGTAGCAGTGCATCATGAACAGTAAAAATAGTTTAAGGTATCTTACATCACGGTCTACATCTAAAGTGCCCATCCATGTGGCAGCAACATAAATTTGAACTGGATTGAAGAATTTCTGAACGATTTATAAGAGCTCAGTGTTTTTACGAATTACACCCACAGCCTTAAAGGAACACAGTCCTGTTCTCATAGAATTTTAAAAAAACAAAACAAAACAAAAGAACGCCGGGAAGAGATAATTACAGTAGAAGTCATTTGCGTCCCCTCATGGGGTGAGAGATTCTCGCCCATATCAACTTTCTTTTCTCTCGTAAGTTCTCGCACGTTTAGAGATGCGCCACACTCGCGTTTTAGGTGCAGGGATCCCAACCAATGCTTAACTAACTTTTTAAAGGTGCTACTTTTAGCGCTTCTCCAAATTTACACGCGTGTATTTCACATGTGGAAAACTATCGCTTGGCACAGTGTTTGGTTTGGAGATTCTCGCCCATATCAACTTTCTTTTCTCTCTTAAGTTTTCGCGCATTTAGAGATGCGCCACACTCGCGTTTTAGGTGCCGGGATACCAACCAATGCTTACCTAACTTTTTAAAGATGCTACTTTTAGCCCTCCCGCAAGTCTACAGACGTGTGTTTCACTTGTGGAAGTCTGTCGATTTGGACAGTGCTTGGGTGAGAGATTCTCGCCACTATCAACTTTCTTTTCTCTCGTAAGTTCTCGCGCGTTTAGAGATGCGTCACACTCGCGTTTTAGGTGCGGAAATCCCAACCAATGCTTACCTAACTTTTTAAAGATGCCTCTTCTAGCCCTCCCCCAAATCTACCTACGTGTATTTTACTTGTGGAAGTCTGTCGCTTTCGACAATGCTTGGGTTAAAAATTCCCGCCCATTGCACTTTTTTGCACTGGCGTGTTTTCGCGCGTTTAGCGATGCGGCACACTCGCGTTTTTTGTGTGGGGATCCCAAACTATGCCTACAAGGCTCTTGAAAAATGCTAGTTTTGGTCCTCCCCCAAATCTACACAAGTGTATTTCACTTGTGGAAGTCTATCGATTTAGACAGTGCTTGGGTTAGATATTCTTTCCCATGTCAATTTTCTTTTCTCCCGCGTGTTCTAGCATATTTAGAGATGCACCACACTCGCGTTTTAGATGCGGGGTTCCATCCATTGCTTACCTAACTCTTTAAAGATGCTACTTTTAGCCCTTCCCCAAATCCACACACGGTTATTTCACTTGTAAAAGTCTGTCAATTTGGACAATGCTTGGGTTAAAAATTCTCGCCCAAATTAACTTTCATTTCTCCCGTCAGTTCTCGCCAGTTTAGAGATGCGCCACACTCGCGTTTTAGGTGCGGAGATCCCAACCAATGCTTACCTAACTTTTTAAAGGTGCCACTTTTAGCCCTAACCCAAATCTACACACCTCTATTTCACTTGTGGAAGTCTGTCACTCTGGATAATGCTGGGGTTAAAGATTTTCGCCTATTTATATCTTTTTTTCACTCGCGTGTTTTCGCGCGTATAGCGATGTGGAAGACTTGCGTTTTGTGTGTGTGTGTGTGTGTGTGGATCCCAAACTGTGGTTACGGGGCTCTTTAAAAAATGCTAGTTTTAACCTCCCCCAAATCTACACGAGTGTATTTCACTTGTGGAAGTCTGTCGATTTGGAGAGCGCTTAGGTTGGATATTCTCGCCCATATTAACTTTCTTTTCTGCCTTAAGTTCTCGCGTGTTTAGAGACGCGCCACAATCGCGTTTTAGGTGTGGGGATCCCAAGCAATGCTTACCTAACTTTCTAAAGGTGCTACTTTTAGCCTTCCTCCAGATCTACACACGTGTATTTCACTTGTGGAAGTTTATCGATTTGGACAGTGTTTAGGTGAGAGATTCTCGCCACTATTAACTTTCTTTTCTCTCGTAAATTCTCGCGTGTTTAGTGATGCGCCACACTCGCGTTTTAGGTGCGGAAATCGAAACCAATGCTTACCTAACCTTTTAAAGATGCCACTTTTACACCTCCCCTAAATCTACACACGTGTATTTCACTTGTGGAAGTCTATTGATTTGGACAGTGCTTGGTTAAGAGATTCTCGCCTATATCAACTTTCTTTTCGCTAGTAACTTCTCGCGCGTTTAGAGATGCGCCATACTCGCGGTTTTGGTATCGGGATCTTCAACTAGATTTGGCCCTTTCTCAAATCTACACACGTGCATTTCACTTGTGGAAGTCTGTGGCTTTGGACAATGCCTGGGTTAAAGATTCTCGCCCATTTATTTTTTTTTTTACTTGCGTGTTTTCTCGAATTAGTTTAGGGTCCCTGGGACTCGGAAATACCGCCCAAGTTCCTGGATATCGACCTAAAGTTTGTGAAAATCACGCTTCGCGTAGCCCGGTCCCGGCGACTTTCTAGTCACTAAGTGGCTATATTTCGGCCAGACTGCTCATAACCAAGCGTTCAAAGATTTTTCCTCTGTCCATTTCACTAAAAATCAAAGTCTTCTCGATTTAGTTTAGAGTCTCTGAAACTCAAAAAAAGTCGCTCAAGTTTCTGGATATCGGCCTAAAGTTGGTCAAAATCGCGCTGCGCGTAGCCTAATCTCAGCGAGTTTCTAGTCACTAAGTGAGTTAAGGAGGGGATATATTACGGCCAGACTGCCCATAACCAAGCGTTCAAAGATTTTTATGCTGTCTCTTTTACTGAAACCCAAAGTCTTTTCGAATTAATTTATACTCCCTGGGACTCGGAAATATCGCCCAAGTTGCTGGAAATCGACTCAAAGTAGGTAAAAATCATGCTTCGCGTAGCCCGGTCTCGGCGACTTTCTAGTCACAAAGAGGCTATATTTCGGCCAGACTTCTCATAACCAAGCGTTCAAAAAATTTTTCCTTATCCATTTCACTAAAACTCAGTCTTCGCGAATTAGTTTAGAGTCCCTGGGACACGGAAAAATCGCCCAAGTTCCTGGAAACCGACCCAGAGTTTAAGCACTGTCCAATCGATAGACTTCCACAAGTGAAATACAGGTGCGTAGATTTAGGGCAGGGCTAAAAGTAGCATTTTTAAAAGGTTAGGTAAGCATTGGTTGGGATCCCCGCACCTAAAACGCGAGTGTGGCGCATCTCTAAACGCGCGAAAACTTACCAGAGAAAAGAAAGTTTATATGGGCGGGAATCTTAAACCCAAGCACTCTGCAAATCGATAGTTTTCCACAAGTGAAAAACACGTGTGTAGATTTGGGGCAGGACTAAATGTAGCATCTTTAAAAAGTTAGGTAAGCATTGGTTGGAATTCCTACACCTAAAACGGGAGTGTGGCGCATCTCTAAACGCGCGAGAACTTACGAGACAAAAGAAAGTTGGTATGGGCGAGAATTTTTCACCCACGAACTGTCCAAATCGAAAGACTACAACAAGTTAAAGACGCAAGTGAAGATTTAGGGGAAGGCTAAAAGTAGCATCTTCAAAAAGTTAGGTAAGGATTGGTTGGGATCCCTGCATCTAAAACGCGAGCGTGGCGTATCTCTAAACGCAGAAGCACTTACAAGAGAAAAAAAGTTAATAGTTGCGAGAATCTCTCAATCAAGTACTGTCCAAATCGATAGACTTCAACAAGTAAAATACACGTGTGTAGATTTGGAGCCAGGCTAAAAGTAGCATCTTTAAAAGTTACGTAAGCATTGGTTGGGATCGCCGCAGCTAAAACGCGAGTGTGGCGCATCTCTAAACGTGCGAGAACCTACGACTGAAAAGAAAGTTGATTTGGGCAAGAATGTCCAACCGAAGCACTGTCCAAATTGATAGACTTCCACAAGTGAAATACACGTGTGTAGATTTGGGGCTAGGCTAAAAGTAGCATCTTTAAACAGTTAGGTAAGCATTGGTTGGGTCCCTGCATCTAAAACTCGAGTGTGGCGCATCTCTAAACGCGCCAGAACTTACGACAGAAAGGAAAGTTGATATGGGCGTGCATCTCTCACCCAAGCACTGTCCAAATCGATAGACTTCGACAAGTGAAATAAACGTGTGTAGATTTGGGGGAAAGCTAAAAGCAGCACCTTCAAAAAGTTAGGTAAGCATTGGTTGGGATCCCCGCACCTAAAACGCGAGTGTGGCGCATCTCTAAACGTGCGAGAACCTACGATTGAAAAGAAAGTTGATTTGGGCAAGACTTTCCAACCCAAGCACTGTCCAAACCGATAGACTTCCACAAGTAAAATAAACGTGTGTAGATTTGGAGGAGGACTAAAAGCAGCATCCTTAAAAAGTTAACCATTGGTTGGGATCCCCGCACCTAAAGCGCGGGTGTGGCGCATCTCTAAACACGCGAGAACTTACGATTGAAAAGAAAGTTTATATGGGCGGGAATCTCCAACCCAAACATTCTGCAAATCGATAGTTTTCCACAAGTGAAAAACCCGTGTGTAGATTTGGGGCAGGGCTAAAAGTAGCATCTTTAAAAAGTTAGGTAAGCATTGGTTGGGATTCCCGCACCTAAAATACGAGTGGGACACATCTCTAAACGCGCGAGAACTTACGAGAGAAAAGAAAGTTGATATGGGCGAGAGTCTCTCACCTAAGCACTGTCCAAATCGAAAGACTTCAATAAGTGAAATACACGTGTGTAGGTTTCGGAAAGGGCTACAAGCAGCATCTTTAAAACGTTAGGTAAGCATTGGTTGGGGTCCCTGCACCTAAAACACGAGTGTGGCGCATCTCTAAACGCGCGAAAACTTAAAAGACAATAGGAAGTTGATATGGGCGAGAATCTCTCACCCAAGCACTGTCCAAATCGATAAACTTCCACAAGTAAAATATTCGTGTGTAGATTTGGGCTAGGCTAAAAGTAGCATCTTTAAACAGTTAGGTAAGCATTGGCTGGGATCCCTGCACCTAAAACGGGAGTGTGGCGCATCTCTAAACGCGCCAGAAATTACGACAGAAAGGAAAGTTGATATGGGCGTGAATCTCTCGCCCACGCACTGTCCAAATTAATAGACTTCGACAAGTTAAATACACGTGTATAGATTTGGGGCAGGACTAAAAGCAGCACCTTTAAAACGTTAGGTAAGCATTGGTTGGGATCCCCCACCTAAAACACGAGTGTGGCGCATCTCTAAGCGCGCGAGAACTTACGAGAGAAACTAAAGTTTATTGTGGCGAGAATCTCTCACCCAAGCAGGTCGAAATCGAATGACTTCCACAAGTGAAATACACGTGTCTAGATTTGGGGCAGGGCTAAAAATAGCGTCTTTTAAAGGTTATGTAAGCATTGGTTGGGTCCCTGCACCTAAAACGTGAGTGTGGCGCATCTCTAAACGCGCGAGAACTTACGAGAGAAAAGAAAGTTGATAGTGGCGAGAATCTCTCACTTAAGCACTGTCCAAATCGAAAGTTTTCCACAAGTGAAATACACGTGTGTAGATTTGGTGGAGGGCTAAAAGTAGAGTTTTTAAAAAGTTAGGTATGCATTGGTTGGGATGCCGGCACCTAAAACGCGAGTGTGGCGCATCTCTAAACGTGCGAGAACTTACCAGAGAAAAAAAAAGTTGACATGGGCGAGAATCTCTTACCTTATGAGGGAAGGCAAATGAGTTCTACTGTAGGTATCTCTTCCTGGTGTTTTTTGGTTTTTTGTCTTTTAATTCTATGAGAACAGGGCTGTATTCCTCTAAGGCTGCGGGTGTAATTCGTAAAAACACTGAATTCTTATAAATCGTTTGGAAATTCTTCGATCCAGTTAAATTTATGTTGCTGGCACATGCTTGGACACTTTAGATGAAGACCGTGATGTAAGATACCTTAAACTGTTCAGTACTGTTCATGATGCACTGCTACGTTAGTGTGCTTTATAAATATTTAACTGCTCTGGTCGAGTTTTTAATTTCAATTTGATTAAACGTTTTTTATATGCCTTCCTGTTAATAATGATGCAAAGTTGTCAGTTTTAGTAATTTCAATTTGAAGACAAGGTCCTGTTAGTACCTTCCTGTTACTTGATGAAAATTTTGCGGGGTTTGTTTTACCAAGGCGCTTCATGACGCCTCCTGGAATAAGTTATACCTTCCCTAGTTGAATCGTCATCAGTTTATCGTACGTTATT